AGGAGAATGGCGTGAACCCGGGAGGCAGAGCTTGCGGTGAGCAGAGATTGCGCCACTGCACTCCAACCTGGGCAACAGAGTGAGACTCCGTATCAAAAAAACAAAACAAAAAAAAAATTGTGGTAAAATATACGTAACATAAAATGTACCATGTTAACAATTTTAAATGTATACTTGAGCAGCAGTAAGTACATTCACACTGTTATGGCATCACTGCCATCCACTTCCAGAACTTGTGCATCTTCCAAAACTGAAGCTCTGTACCCATTAAGCAGTCACTCTCCATCCCCTGCTCCCCAGCCCCTGACAACCACCATTTTACTTTCTGTCTCTATGATTTTGACTACTCTAGGTCCCTCATATAAGTGGAATCATACAGTAATTGCTTTTTTGAGACTGGCTCATTTCACTTAGCATAATATCCTCGTGATTCATCTATGTTGTAGCATGCGTCAACATTTCCTTCTTGTTCAAGGCTGAATCATATTCTGTAATATGGAGAGACCACATTTTGCATCTCTATTCATCTGTTGGTGGACACTTGGGTTGTTTTCCACTTCAGTCTGATTTATTTTCTGTTGTTTTTGAAACTTGATAACTAGCTTTATTCCAGACGGGCTCCTGAAGACAGGAAAGAGTATCTAAGTGGTCTGACACTATTCTAGAGATTGGCCCGGTCATCACTTTAGTCTGGGCCTTGTAGATGTGCAAAAACAGCAGTGGCTCTGAGCATAGGCAGAGGGATTAGATGTGAGGGGTAAAGGGAGGATCTGTAGTGTGCCTTGCACCATAAAACTTATGCTGCTTCACTGCTCAAGTTTAACTCACGTCAACCCAAAGGCTATGCAGATGTTTTCTGCTGGGTTGCTATGGACACCAGAAGTCTAGATCTTGAGCAGACAGAACACAGAGTACCCTCAGTGCGGTCCTAATTTACCTGTTTCCTCAGCAGCTATGTCCATACCAGCTACCTAACTCCCGACCCCCCAAATCCATCTAACTTCTTCCTGTAGCCTTGGCTTGTAGTGTTTTGCAGGAACAGGAATGGATCTGATGGCAGAAGCATTGGTGTCAAGGGGCATTTCCCAAACTTGTCTAATCACAGACTCACCTGGGAAGCTTGACAAAATATGGATTCCTGGGCTCCATCCCAGAACTGACTGATCAGAATCTGTAGGGGAGGGGCCAAGGAATCTGAATTTTAACAGGTGCCTCGAGAATCTTATGAGGACACCCTGAGTAGAGAAGCAAGCACTTAACTTAGATCAGAACACCTGAGTCCTACTGAACCTGAAGTGCCTGGAGAGTTCCATCCACATTTATTGAGCAGGCCCCATGCTAGGTGCCAATGGAACAGAGGAATATTGGACTGGGAGATGGCTGGCTGCTCAGAGCAGGCTCCTGGGCATCGCATTGGCCAGATCACTGGGTATTACAGCTGAGCCTTGATTTTGTGGCTCCAGGGATTTGTGATTGTCTTTATATCAAGTGTTAATGTCACTCTGGTAGAGTGTGATTGTATTCCAGCCAGGTGAATCACTGGTGACTGATCCCTCCCTCACAAAGGAGCTCAGCTCCCTGGCGGCTAAAGTGTCCATGTCACCCAGATTTGGCATCCCAGCCTTCTTCTAAGATTCTCCACTGTAGGCTGGGATTCTCGTGGGCCTGGTATGGAAAAGAGCCAGGCTGCTCCTTGCAGTGAAGAGGGAAGAACCTCACTATTGGAGTCAGAGTAACTTGAGTCTGAATCTCCATTCCCTTGTATACTAGTTGTGTGACCCTGAGTAAGTTTCTGAATGTCTCTGAGCCTCTGTTTCCTCACAGTATAATCAGGTATAATCAGGTGGCTATGAGAATTAAATGAGATTCTGTATATATATTCTTTAACCCAACAAACACTTAAGGTCTTCTCTGTGCCAATTCTGTGTCATGTGAGCCTGGGACAGTAACTGACACCTGGTCAGTTTTCAAAGTGCCCTTTCCCTTTCTCCTGCCATGTTGCCTATTCCATTTGGCACACTGCTCCACAAAGGGGAAATGAATCAACACCTTCTTCCCTGGAAATGCCTCACTTCCTACCAAGTTTGTTTTTCTCATCAACTTTTTTCTCCTCCATGGAAAAATACAAACTTTGATTAAGCTTTTTCTGGAAGAAGTTTTTGGACCCACTGCACCCTCTGTGGGACGCTGCCCAGATCTCAAGGTGCTCAGTGGCAGTGGAGCCTGAGGCTGGGGGCCCAGGCAGAGGCTCCAGGGCAGGGCATGGGAGATGTCCTGGGCTCCACGCTGCCTGGACCCAGGGCTAGCTCCTTGACTTGGGTGAGGAAAAGGCAGTGGGAGACAAAAGGCCAAGGTCATCCAACCACTGATTCTGGATAGCTGAATATCCGATGTTGACAGTTTCTCTTCCCTCTCTCTCTCTGCAGTTTCATCTATACAGCTAGGTCTGGTTTGCATTGAAATAAGCATCCAGTAATACGCCCTTTGCCTTACCAACTTGTACTTGCACACAGGCAGCAGAGATTCACCATTTCACTTCCTACCACCAACTAAAAGAATTGTATCTCTTCAACAAGCACGACTTTATTTTTAACCTTTTTTTTTATTGTGGTAAAATGTATACTACATAAAATGTGTCAGTGTAACCATTTTAAAACGTACAATTCAGCAGCATTAAGTACATTCACAGTACTATGAATGTACTTAATTTCCAAATCTTTTTAATGACTCCAACCTGAAACTCTATATCCATTAAAAATAACTCAGATTCCCCATTCCCCAAAATCCATGGTACCTCAAATCTACTTTCTAGCTCTATGAATTTGCCTACTCTAGATATTTCATATAATTCACACGATGTTTGTCTTTCCGTGTCTGGCTTATTTCACTCAGCATGTTGTCAAGGTTCATTCATGTTGTAGGATGTATCAGTACTTCATTCTTGTTTCTGCCGGAATAATATTCCATGGCATGGCCATACCACATTTTGCCTATCCATTTATTTGTTGAACACTTGAGTTGCTTCTGCCTGTTGGCTAAAGTAAGAAATGTTGTTCTGAATATTAGCATACAATGTTTATCAATATACAAACATTGGCATATAATGTTTGAGTCCCTGCTTTCAATTCTTTTGGGACATATGCCCAGGAGTAGCTTTCTGGGTCATATGGTAATTTTTTGTTTAACTTATTGAGGAGCTGCCAAGCTGTTTTCCACAGCAGCTGCACCATTTTACATTCCTACCAGCCAGCAATCACCTTTAAACATGAAAGGTTTTAAATGACATTTCCCCCAATTTTCTAAGTAAAACATATGAATTATAGAACCATGGGGAAGTATAGGAGAAAAAAGAAGAAAAACGTACTCATAATCCTGACTACGTAAAGATAATAACTATTAATATTCTATATTATTTATTTATTTGTATTAAAAAATTGAGACAGGGTCTCACTATGTTGCCCAGGCTGGTCTCAAACTCCTGGGATCAAGCTGTCGTCTCACTTTAGCCCCCTGAGTAGCTGGGATTACAGGCATGTGACACCATGCCTGGGCTCCTGTCATCATTTCTTTATGTCTCTTTTCTATATTTTTTTCTTTTACATAGTGGATATTGAATTTTATATTACAATTTTGTGGGCTGATTTTTCCACTTAATATTCTAGCATTGGGCTGGGCATGGTGGCTCACGCCTCTAATCCCAGCACTTTGGGAGGCCAAGGCGGGTGGATCATTTGAGGTCAGGAGTTCGAGACCAGCCTGGCCAACATGGTGAGACCCCCCCCATCTCCACTAAAAATATAAAAATTAGCTGGGCGTAGTGACGCGCTCCTGTAATCCCAGCTACTCAAGAGGCTGAGGCAGGAGAATCGCTTAAACCTGGGAGATGGAGGCTGAAATGAGCTGAGATTGTGCCACTGCACTCCATCCTGGGTGACAGAGTGAAATTCGTCTAAAAAAATTAAAGTAATAATAATAAATATTCTAGCATTAGTATCATCTCATCTCATCTCATCTCATCTCATCTCATCTCATCAGAACTCTTCAAAATATTTCTATGAACTGCAGCTCAATTAGAGGTGGTCTCTGATTTTCATCAGCTTCTCCCTGGGCTCCATGACACTGGCCCGGAGTGACTCATTGCTCCGGTTGCTTGAGACAGCTCCTTTGCCAACAGGCCTCCAAGTCAGGGCTGGGATTTGTTTCCTTTCCACATTCTAGCAACAATATGCTGGCCGCTTCCTGAACAGGGAGGGTGGGAGGAGCCAGCATGGAACAAGCTGCCACTTTCCAGAGTAGCCAGACTTGCCCCTGGGCCTGTCAGCACCTACTGCTGACCTTCTGTGCCTGCAGGATGGAATGTAGGGGTGGGCTGTGTGACTTTATGGTACAAAGTGGTCCAGGTTCCTGGAGGCCACACTCTGGGGCTGCCAGCCAAAGGGTGCCCTTAAGTTGGAGCATAGGTGACTTCCTGAACAGAGCTGGCACTGGGGAGAGGGTGCTGGGGGTCCTTCCTCTTCTAACAGGCCCCTGTTTTGTCTCAATGACAGTATTGCTACACCTGTGGGTTATGACAAAAAAAGATGCCAGAGAATCTTCAAGAAGGAGGACTGCAAGTATATTGTGGTGGAGAAGAAGGACTCAAAAAAGACCTGTCCTATCGATCAATGGATACTCTAATGTGCTTCTAGTAGGCACAGGGCTCCCAGGCCAGGCATCATTCTCCTCTGGTCTATGATTGTGTAGCCATGCCTATCAGTAAAAAGATTTTTGAGCAAACACTTGAATATGTGTGTCCTTTTATACTTGTGTATGCATTGATTTAATACACATTATAAAGAATATAAAACATTTTAAAAGAGAGACAAAAATACACATGAATGGCCAGGCACAGTGGCTTATGTGTATAATCCCAGCACTTTGGGAGGCCGAGGCAGATGGATCATTTGAGGTCAGAAGATCGAGACCAGCCTGGCCAACATAGTGAAACCCCATCTCCACTAAAAATACAAAATTAGCCAGGCATGCTGGCAGGCACCTGTAGTCCCAGCTACTCGGAAGGCTGAGGCAGGAGAATCACTTGAACTTGGGAGGCGGCGGTTGCAGTGAACCAAGATCACATCAGTGCACGCCAGCCTGGGTGACAGAGTGAGACTCCGTCTCAAAACACAAGCAACCAACAAAAAAACCCAAACCCAAACAAAACAAAACAAAATAAATATGAATAAAAGTTCTATTTTTCCTAAGCTCTATAATAGGTCATTGTGCATCCCTTACTTGGGGGACCACTGCCACTCTTACTGTTTCTGATGTCTGCATTCTGCTGCCCGTGTCCTGCTGTCTGGTGAATGATGAAAAAAATGTGTGTCTTCAAGCTGGAATTAGATCCCTTCTTTTCTTTACAGTGTTCCTGTTTATCCCTCCTTCCTCTTCATCAGGAAGTATCTTCTGTGATGTGTCCCCCACATTCCTCTGTGTTTGCTTGAGGTCAAAGCAGTTTAGAACAAGACAGCCTGAAGAAAGTGCCCCCAAGACCACATGCAGCCCGAGGGGAATTAAAGGCCAGAGGCTCTGCCTTGCAGATAGAGCATGGCCTGGGTGCAAGGCCCCAGTATCAGTTATCTCTTGCTACACACAGACCACCCAAAACTTAGTGGCTTAAAACAATGACAACATCGATTCTCTTTTGATTGTTTCTGTATTAGAAAACATCTGTTAACTCAACAGGTCTGTACTGAGCACCTGGGTCAGGCAGTGCTCTGGACCTGGGGATAAAGCAGTGAACCAGAGAGATCTCAGGAGAGAACCTTGCTCTCCTGGGGCTTGGAGTTAGCTGTGTGTACGTGACAGATCAGAAATGAGCAAACAGTCATCTGTTGAACAATCGGTGGGCAACTGATAAAAAGCTTTATTTTCCCCTGTCCCCTATCTGTTCAAACATGCTATGTGGGCCAGTTAAGCAATCTAGACAGGTCCCTAAGCTTTCTTGGTCACCTTCGGATAGTTTAAAAAAGTGGTCTGAGTTACATTTTGAGTTACACAAAGTCTCATTCCAGGGGCTGCATCTGAATTGAGAGGCAATGGGGGACAGGAGAGTTAAGGGCTCCTTCTGCCTGAGGTAATGTTCTAGGCTGACTTTTCATGGGACTTTTGTGGGCCTCTCTTTCCACAGCTCGCCTTCCACTCACAGCCTATGGCTGTTATCTTAGCTTCTGCATCAGAATCTGTGTCTCTTGTTGTTTTCTAATGAGGTTGCCTTGCCCCTTGTAGGAGTCACTCTTGGGTGAGATCCATAAAACCCTGCTATGAACATCTCATCTGCTGAGGAATGTGGGGAAGCAGTTGGCAACTGAGTATGGAGGACCTCTGTCAAAACTGAGGCAGAAAGAAGTGCTATTTTAACATCTGGTCACAAGTAAATAATGTGGGTTATTATCCGGGCTGTAAACTGGACGTGGTGGCTTATGCTTGTAATCCCAGGTGAGGTGGGAGGATCGCTTGTGCCTAGGAGTTCGAGACCAGTCTGGGTAACACAGCAAGACCCTGTCTCTACAAAAAAAAAATTTTAAACCAGGCATCATGGTGCACGTTGGTAATCCCAGCTACTCAGCAGGTTGAGGCAGGAGAATCGCTTGAACCCAGGAGGCAGAAGCTGTAGCGAGCCGAGATTGCACCACTGCACTCCAGTCTGGGCGACAGTGTCAGACCCTGCCTCAAAGAAAAAAGAAAAGAAATAAAGAATCTGGGTTCTGACATTTATTTATTTACTCAATGTATTTTTTTCTTTTCTTTTCTTTTGAGACCCAGTGTTGCTCTGTCGCCCAGGCAGTGTAGTGGCGCGATCTCGGCTCACTGCAATCTCCGCCTCCCGGGTTCAAGCAATTCCGCCTCAGCCTCCCGAGCAGCAGGGACTACACGCGCGCGCCACCACGCCCGGCTAATGTTTTGTATTTTTAGTAGAGAAGGAGTTTCACCGTGTTAGTCAGGATGGTCTCCATCTTCCGACCTCGTGATTCGCCCGCCTGGGGTTCCCAACGTGCTGGGATTATAGGCATGAGCCACCGCGCCCGGCCTATTTACTTTAGAAAAACAAATGTTGCAAAGGTGGAATCATACAACATATGGCCTTCTGTGTCTTATGATATTCATTTTTGCATCTGAACGTTCAAGTTAAATAATATCTACCTTGTGAGGGCATTTGAATCACTTAGAATGGTCCTCGGCACAAAACTTGCCTTCAAAAAATATTTGCTTCATTTAATTTCGATTTATTCACGAAGGGCTAAGGGACGTTGTGCAAGGGCTGGGAGAAAGTGTGCGCCTGCGCTCTGCGCCTTCTAGAGGGCAGTCAAGGGGGCTGGGAGAAAGTGTGCGCCTGCGCTTTGCGCCTTCTAGAGGGCAGTCAAGGGCTTCTGCCTGACCCGAGGGGAGATCTCGCGAGACTTTCAGACGTCTGGCAAGAGGCGTGAGAGGAAGATTGCGTTGTCGCGAGAACTCTGCCTTTTGGGACTTAGGTTAGTGTGGGGCCGTGTCTCAGTCCACCCAAGGTCTCCTCGGATCGCGCGGAGAGGCACTCGGACGTGGTAAGAACGCCGTGGGCCGGGTGGAGGCTGGATGATCGCTGGCCCCGGGCTTGTCCGTCCCCTTCCCGACCTGACCGACACCGGGCCGGCCTGCCTTCTCCTCCTCTTCCCTCCACACGCCAGGCCCAGGCACCTCTTCCTGCCTGCCCGCCGGTCCCGGCCTGCCTTCTCCCCTTCCCTCCACACGCCGGGCCCGGGCCTGCCTTCTCCCCTTCCCGCTACACGCGGAGCTCCGGGCCTGCCTTTTCCTCCCCGACCCTCCTCATTCCCGGCCCAGAAACCTCCTGCTCCCCGCCGGCCTTCCCCTGGTTTTAGGTGTGACAGCTCCAAGTTTCCTATTTCTCTGGCCTCTTGCCTGGATCTGGGGCGTGGCAAGGTCTGTTTTTCCGAACCAGCCCAGAACACAATCCATTTCTAGCTTGTCAGGTGGAAATACAAATAAGATATTGGGGTTTTTTTTTTTTTTTTTTTTTTTTTTTTTTTTGGCCCTCTGTGTGCTAAACACATACCGTCACATTTAGGTCTCCCAATAATCCCGAAAAGTAGCTTGATTATCTCTGTTTTACAGATGAGAAGAGTGAGGCTTGCTCATTCATTGGTTCATCCACCAACAATCATTTATTTGGTGCCTGTATGTACAGGATGTTGAGGATAGCAATGAAGAAAATGGACACACTCCTAATTCTCATGGAACTAAATTCTCGTGTTGGGAACAACAATAATCATAAGCTTACGTGGCACGGGATTTAATGTGGAATGATGCCATCAAGAATGGCAGAAGTAGAATGACAGAAGTCAGAGTGCTAGAATTTATCTGAACCCACAGGCAGAGCTTTTTTCCTTTTAACTGTGCCTTTTTGTGTCTATCTAATCAGGGTCGGGTTCACCATAGTAACTGCCTTTTGGATGGACTTAGCTTTCCACCACGCACTTGGTAATTTGGAACTAAGTTTACAGAGACTCTTGAGTTACTTATTGGAATGAGGATGGCACAGGAAGTCATAGTTGGCCCATTTCTGTACTGAGATCCTACTGTGACATTTCCAGACTTTAAAGTACATGAGACCGTTTGAGAAAGGCTTACCCTAATGACGCAATGGAGGGAGATTCATTTGCTGCCTTGTGGCTTAGGCAATTTACTTGGTTTTCTCATCTGAAGATTTGCTAGCTTGCAGATTTGTTCAGATAAGTAAATGAGATAATGTATGTAAAGTCCAGCACAATAACATTCCTTTCACTTTCTCCTTCCCTCCCTTCCAGGGAGCCTTTGTCCTTGGGTCTCTGAGGAAAATCCTACTCTTGGAAAGTTTTGTGATACTTTTTATCTAAATAAATCTCTACAATCACATTATTACCTTTGTGCAAACAGGCATTTCGGAAATAGAAAAAACACGTTGAGCTATTGAAGGAAAGGAAGATGTCCTTCTCAAAGGCAGAGAAGGTATTTTAGAACTACATGATACCCCTGACCCCTGTTTTTATTAAATCAGCATAGCTGTGCCAGAATCTCAGGAGCCCATGTAGGGGTTTCATAAAACTCCATAGTATATCCTGACGCATGTCCCTCCCCCGGTTTGAGAGTCCCTAAGTTAGTGTTTTATAATACTTTCCCTCACATAGTGTTAGCATTCAGTGCCAGTCATTGCTGCTGCTGATGGACTTTGAACTCTGTCTCTTCTTTCAAAGAATTAGTATTTTCTGCTTTGTTGGCAAATCGGTGACACGAGTTCTCCTCTAGGTGGCAAGTTCACCATTGTGTTCTCGGGGACTATCACAGTAGTGGCAGTTGAGGTACTCCATAAATAGTTGTTGGATGAATACATAATACCTTAATACTTAATGATTCCTTCAACATACCCGGTATGGTTAGGGACTTTGGACTCAGATCTGGGATTAAATCTTGGCTCTTCTACTTGGAAGTTTGTGACTGTAGGTAATATATTTAACCTTGTCAAGTCTGCTTTTTTTTTTTTTTAATTGTGATGATAATAGCCCCTTTAATGGTTTGTGAGTGCTAATTGAGATAATGAGTTTTAAAAAAAAGGCTTGGCACATAGTAGACTAGATGTAAATACTTACTGAATTCATTTACTCAGTAATTAATTATTGAATACCTACTATACAACAGTGAACAAAAAGACAAAGTCCCCGCCATTTGGAACTTACCTTCTAGTACGTTTTCTGAAGGGAGATCAGAAAATGGT